CCGTTCCTGCGGGATCCAGACCACACCTCCCACACTGTCCTGGAAGCCCACGCTCTGTGGCGTGCTTTGGACCAGAGCCTTGGATCACTTCGGCTCTAATCTCGTCCTCTAATCCCTCAACAGCATTAGTTCCCGGCAGAAGTATTACGGATCTTGTCTGAGGTGACTGTCGCTGAATTTCAAGAATGCTTTCATCAGCAGAGTGAATCCCGCAGCATCCTCTGATGCCCTCAGCTTTGGAGAGGCTGCAAGCAATATTGCATTAGTTCAGAATAATGTTTGCAGTGTTCTTGTTGTCATTGTATTATTCTTTTCTCATCTGCTTTCACCATAATACTCTTACTATTATTATTATTTTTTTTTTTAGTTTACTTACATAAACTCTGTGTCCAAGAAGACCAAGCGTACAATGCTTATGGTAACCGTGATACTAAAGCTAACTGAGACCTGATTATGGGATATGTAAGGAAGTCACCATCCTGGGTAAAGATCCTGTTCACTTACCCCTTGCCATCTAATTTACCATCGTTCTGCTTCTGTTTGGTTTCTGTAATCAGTTTCTATGGCAGGCTTCTGCTTTTATGGAAAACTTTTCATCTTGCTTATTCAGGCAGCTGTGATTCCAACCCTTCTATCCAGGAATCTTTAGATAGTTGATAAACCATTAAGAGAAATGTAAATTCTGGTATATTAACAAATCTACCAACCCGAGCTTCGGCCCATCTTAGATCCAAATCTAGGCCACCTGCGTGCCTGGCCAAACACCTACCTTTGTGTGCTGGGAGGTTAGAGCCAAGGCTGAGGAACGGCAGGCAGCTGGAGAAGGTGCTTTTGAGGATTCTGCACAGATGAAACAGTAAACACCCGTTGAAAGCAAATGCTTTGAAATCCATGTAAGCTAGTCAAGTGGGAGACATTTTCTGTAAGGACTCGGATATTTCAAGGGGTCTGTACATAAAGCTATCCTGAAAATCTCTTCCGTTCTGTTTCTTTTTAAAAGGGGTCTCAGTGCGGACAGCAGCTGCAGGTTCTGGTGAGAACACTGGGTCCTCTGGAGGACATTTTTCCTTGGGGGGGGGTCATCCCATCTGGTCCATCCCTCCACTTGGCCTGACCCTGCTCAGCTCTCAGGGCTGCCCTCCCTTGTATCTCCGTGAAAGTTTCAAACCCTGTTTTTTTTTTTTTTCCTTCCGATCTGTCTCTCAATCCACATTTTGTATGAGAAGACAGAGGCTGCATCTCTCATTTGCTTTTCAAGTTATTTACAAGGATGTGGGACAAAAAGTGGCTTTCTTACACTAGTTGCTTGAAGACATTGTTGGCATGAAGGAGCGAGGGGTGTGTGTAGAAGGGGAGCTATGGGAAGGTGATGGGAGGGTCCTGGGGGCTGAAGACTGCCATTCAGGCTATAGACACTCAGGGACTCAGCATGGGGGTGGGCAGGAGGGCTGGCAGCAGGAGGGCTGTTTTCTGAACTGTCCTCTTCTGCACTTGTGCCTGTGGTGAGCAGATCTGAGGATGGTTTCAATGACAGCGAAGCTTTAGTGCATTTCCCCTCACTGGAGACCGGGGCAGGCTGGGAAACAGGTGGCCCCAACAGACCAACATCTGTTTCTATACATTTACTGCATTCTAGGGGTCTGCGCTCCTTTGGAGTGAAGGGGTTTATGCTCAGTCTTTAAGGCCTTGCTGTCCTCCGTGGCAATCAGGGAGTGAATAAAGACTTTCCTGATTAGGTATTTAAGGCAGCGGGTACAAACAGACCTTTTGGAAACACAGGGACATTTGGGTCCTGTGAGGAGGAGATGGTCTGCCAGGGGTTAGGAGGTGCCTGTCTCTGGCTTAGGGATGAAGGGGCTAAGAGGACCAGGATGGACAGAGCCAATCAGGAAGTAGTAAGAGAGGCGTACAGAAAAGGGGAGCAGTTAGCAGCAGAATCAAAGCACAGAAGCGTGAGGGCAGATCAGGATCAGAGACGACCACTTACCATTCTCTTGGCTTTTCCTGGAGGAAGCAGCTGTAGTGTTCTGTATTTCTCATCATGACAGACATTTCACAGGAAAAAAACATCTTCATATGAGGTAATCCCAAATTTTAGGAGTCTGATTCTGCACAAAAGACAGGATTTCTCTTTGATATCATTGAGCACAAGATGCTAGGATAATATAAACTTGGGAACTGTTGGCTACCTCACAGAACCTCACAGTTATTCTGAGGATCTCAAGTTGGAGTGCCATTCTGCAGCGCAGGACCCCGGAGGGAGAGACAAGGGCATTTTCTGCCAAGCTGTTGTTTGAACAATAGGCATGCCTTGCTTTCAAACCGTCTCCAGCAGTTCCAGGTGCAGTACCCGACTTCATTGATTTCTTCTGCGACTTGGAATATTCTTGGAGAAGTACTATTTAAGGAGAAAGATTCCCTTAACAGAACCAATGAGAAGGCTCTCTGTGCTTAGGCAGGTACCCAAGGGGAACTGGGCCAGAGCCAGGTTCCCTGAGGTCCCAGCCTGAAGCTGAGCTCGGCTTCCAGTATGCTGAGAAGTTGAGGTTGGAGGCTCAGAGAACAGCCTGCAGGGCAATATCTGGACCTGTGATGCAAGTCAGCTCTCAGCAGACTGTGGGTGGTGGAGAAAGAGAGGACTTAAGGAAAAAGACTCACCCGGAAAACAAGCTTTTTTTTTTTTTTTTTTTTTTTTTTTTTTTTTTTTTT